TATTTCGGACCTGTACAAGTTACCGCTGATAGCCAAGGAATTCGCAAAGTATGGGTCTGTCTACTTACCTGTATGACTACCCGTGCATTGCACCTTGAGCTAGTTTACGACAATACAGCTCATGAGTTTCTACTCGCCTTTCGTCGCTTTATTGCGCGAAGAGGGACACCGGACCTCCTCGTTAGCGATAATGCATCGACATTCAAGTTAGGTCGAGAGATACTCACTAACCAGCTGTTACATATCGCAGACCATACGACCGTTACCGACTTCACCACGAAGAATAGTCTCCGTTGGCACTTCATTACACCACTTTCACCCTGGAAGGGGGGCTTCTACGAGAGACTAGTCGGCATGGTGAAGAAGGCCTTATGGAAAACGGTTCGTAGAAACACGCTCAACATCCGCATTTTCGAGACGTTGATAGTCGAGATTGAGGCAACACTGAATACACGCCCTTTGGCGTCATCAGGAGATGCTTCTTTTCTTCGACCTATTGACCTCATTAGTCCCTTCTACCACCTAGGGCTATTTACCGCATCAGGGTCATTGCAAGAGTCACCCTTCATCGTCTATGATCCTAGTGATTCGCAGACGAAGGAGACTCTGAAAGAACAGCATGACTCCTTGATTACCGCACTTGATTACTTCTGGAACCTTTGGCGAGAAGACTATCTTCAAACGCTCGCGCAAGGTCAACAGAAGCCAATCAAGAATCCGCAAGGATCTTCCTTACAGCCAACTGTAGGAGATCTAGTCATCGTTAAGACGGATGACATGCCTAGAGCTCATTGGCCCTTGGCAGTCATCACACGTCTCAATGTGTCTAACGATGGTTCCATTCGGTCCGTGCAAATACGCACCGGCAAAAACATCTTCATGGAACGATCTGTTAAACACTTAATACCGCTCGAACTTCATGTTCACGACATCATTACCGCAGATTTACCGCCTATAAGGCAACAACCACCTAGACGAGCGAAGCGAGTAAAGCTTCACTAAAATTCTCTCAACTACCATTAATAGCTTAGCTTAGTACTAAATATAGTTCTAGTTAATAATTCTCTCTTCCACTTAACTTATTCTCTTTGTTCGTCTGTGGTTCGAGCCCTTCTAAAGTTGCTGGGGTCACACTGAGACGTATCGCCTCGGGACCCTAGCGCTTGCGAAATAGGCTATCGTAGGGATAGGGCACATCAATATATCGTTCGTAACTGTATTTCTATTTACAGGTTGCTCTAATCAACTGCTACTAACTCTCTAACTAACTATGGCAAGGAAGAAGCGAACATCCCAGAAGACAACAACATCGTCTCGTTCGACTTCAACTGCGGCTTCGAAGACTCAACATGGACCTTCGACGCGAAGCAAGGATCGATACCGCAAATCCACCGCAGGCTGACAGCCAGGTTGAAGGATTATCGGCGATCGTTCAACGAATTGGTTAGCATTGGCTCTGGCCAAGCAAACGTGACCGATTCAACGAATCCTGAAAATCTTCCATCCACGGAGATGCCTTTGCCTCGTCTGTGACGACGACGAGATGGACCAATCTGTGCCTCTCGAGACACAGGGTTCAACTCAAGGCGAAGACGTTTCCACGGCAGTCGAACAGCCATTACCGCAGACACTCGGTGTCGACCAAAGTGTTTCCGCAAACCCTCAGGTTGCAGACGCTTCGGTATCAGCGACTTTGACGGGTTGGAAACCTTTCGGTTTTCCGCAACCGCTGGATCTAGTCTTTGATCCTAAGCGGCAAAACATTCTTGATTACTCTCGTTCGATCCGCACTGTAGGATCCGCCATGCGCAAGGCGCATGAGGAATACCTACGTACGTTCGAGAGCCTTCGTGACAAGGCTTTCAAAGCCGGTCCGAAGGGAACGTCTGGGAAAAGGACTCCACTTAGGAGGAATCCTGCTCCAACGGACGTTCTACCTTTACCGCCAGTTACCGCAACCAGTTCCTTCTTCGTTAATCAGCACAACGTCGAGGAACTTACCGCGATGCAACTTGCATCAGTTTACCGCTTTGTGAAGGAATATGAGCCTTCATATTTACCGCACGACACCGAGCCGACGAAGGATATGAACATTGATCTTCGTGCGAAGGTGTTGGGAATCATTAATTCGTTCGAGCTGTTGAGAAGGACAACGAATAACTCCGTACACCTTATCACTCAGCTCGCGAATTTTGTGACCGACTCGTCGCCCGACATGGTCAGTTTCTCCTACCTTTACGGCTTGGTCACAAGAAATACTACATAGTCTTACCGCAATGTCTGTGCATAGGGATATCCTTCAAGAAGGGATTATTCCATGTTTCGCAGACGAAGATTACCGCAAGCTCTTACAAGAAGCTTTGGACAGATGCAGCGTTTCTATCGCGCACATAGTAGCATTACTAACAAGGGCCTCAGGTTTGGCCGCATTCCTTACAAGATACTTGCGTGCGATAGAAACGGCGCAGCTCCAACTTATCGCTGATTTGCCAGGGGGTGAGGCCGACGCTCGTTCTCTCATTGTGGAAGTTCAGCGGGCCCCTCCAGGCAATCTTCCCGCAACAGAAGCGCATTTCGTACAGTCTCAGTGGTGGCGAGACAACTACTCGCCAGCGCTTGATCACACGAAGGACAAAGCAATTTGTCGACAAAGTGTCAGCGCAAGCAGTAGAGTATGCGCGCTCTTTACCGGGTCGTGAGAGTGTGCAGGCCTCTCACGTTGTACAATCATCTCCTGCTCCCTAGTACTTCTACTGGAATGGGCGCCCCGACCAGTTCTTCTCGCTCTCGGGAGGATGGACCCTCGTCCAGTTCTTCTAGGAGGGGGAGAGTCGCGTACCATCTCCAACAGGGACTCCAGGAGAGGTACAACCGAGACGTTCCCGCCAAGCTTCACAGGAACCGCGAAGCAGCGACAGCGATAGACAGACTCCTTTCAGTCCGTCTCCGCAGTTGCCGCAAGCGATTCCTAAGAAGGATCAACCGCCGTGCATCTTCTGTTCGAACAGAGGGCACTATTCCGCTGAATGCCACTACAGAAAACGTCTTTCGGAGAGGGCTAGTATCCTCCGAGACATCAAAGTCTGTAGTAAGTGCTTAAAAGTTCACACGAACTTCTGTACCCGCTTACAGAATTGTATGTTGTGCGGTCAAGACAATCACCATCAGGCAGTCTGTGTGCACAACTTACATGCTATAATCGACATCAACACACCCGCTGCGACCTTCTACAACGATCTCGCTAGAGATACGTTCGTCCCTGAGGATGGAACTCAGAGACATCGACGTACTTTTCCGCATAAGTACTCGCGAGGCCGATCAGGGGGAAGATCGTCTTCCCGTGACCACCGATCGGAATCGCGAGGAAATTAACCGCAGTGTGTGTACTGAACTAGTACGAGACACCACTTACCGCCAGTGTTCAACTGATTACCGCGGCTAGAATTCAACTGAAAGTTACCGCTGTTTGAAATTTGTGACAGTTACCGCGTTGTTACCCAAGTGGAAACACAACAACTTACCGCCGGTTTTCTCCTACTTTAGGTACGATCGACAAAATGGGCAAGGACTGTCGACTATGATGGGCAAGGACTGACGACAGAGATGGGCAAGGACAGTCAACTAAGATGGGCACGTGGCAACGACGACGACTACGACTTCTATTCTACAACATCGTCAAGTCAATCAACATCTTGCTACGTCACATCAAGTTGCTGTTTCGAGTTCGATGGTTTCGACCGTTTCGATGGTTCGATGGTCAACGACAAGTGGAAAGTGGAGGATATCGACGCAATCATGTAATTTCAATTTTCCCTTTTTTGAGCTGCCCTTAAGGCGCTCACTGTGTCTCTCGAGTATCCTTAAGATACTCAACAATTGTGTTTTGCCTTGCTCTAGCCCGGTAGGTTTCCTGAAAGTGTTATTAAGATAGTTGCTGTGTTTTCATTTGTTGTATAATTGCATTATCTCCGCTGTTCATTGTATTTATCTTTTGAGGTACCCTTAAGGTACCCTTTTTTCGCTGTTATGGGTATTGGTTTCGCCGTGCGCATACGGTTTCATCGGTGACCCTTAAGGCACCATCTTTCTGTCATGAGCTTATGACCAGTAGGGACTGCCGATTAGGTAGTAATTTGTGAGGATTGACCATGCCATCTATCTACCGCTAAGGGGGGCCTCAGCCAGTCGCACGGTTTTTTCTTTGGGGGGGGGGGGGATTCCAATTAACCCCGAGCCGTCGTTCTCCACGCGCCCACGGGAGCACTCGCTTTTGCTCTCGGGAGTGTCGCGGCTCTCGGGAGTGTCGCGGTTCGCGACAACGTTGGCCGGGGTCCCGTGCGCCTGGGCTCTGGCGCGCTACACGGGCAAAGCCGCGACGCGACCGCCGTAAGCCGCGCCACCGCCCCGCCACCAGTGGAGCCTATATAAGGGCTGCCGTGGCAGCCAGTCGGTGTGCTTCTCTCCCTCCGGGAGGAGAGATCCACCGGGCACCCGCTCTGCCGCCATGATGCCGGACGGTTCTGCAGGGTGCTTGCACTCTGTACAGCAGTGTGGTCGGGCACACTGCTCCGTCTGGCGGAGCTCTGGCTCTGGCCCGTGCCTGCTATGACCCGAAGGCACGGCCGGCTGCGGGTTGCAGCTTGTAGCCGCAGGGCGCCATAAACCGGTAGGAGTACCGCTGGACAGTTGGAGGATGGATGGCCAATCCAGCTACGGCAGGGTATGAGGACAGATCATGAAGATGGCATACCGCAACACGTGAAGTCATAATATGAAGTTTATTTACGTTGGACTGTTGTAATACGAGGGACTTGGCAGGCGACCGGGCAGGTGGGCCCGTAAGGTGCTGGTTAGGTTTGGGAGGTTTGGTCGGGCAGAGGTATAAGTTATTGGTCGTTGTATTTCTGTTGTTACCTTTGTTGGTTGGTTATTGCATGCTCAGGGGGGGTACGGGAAGTAGGTCATGGCTCGCTTAGACCGGTTACGGCAGGCTGTAACAGTGGTAGGGGCCGGCTGACCCGGGGGTCCAGGACGGACTTGGGGGAGGTCGGACCCACCACGGGGACATGCCTGTGCATGGGCTGCCGTCCCCTGCAGCCTGCACGGCGTTAGCCGGGTGGTCCTCGGGGAACGAACAATATCGTGCGGCGGGAAAAGCGATATGGCCCCCCGAGCGGAACTGTCTGAGACTGACGGTGGGCCTGAACGCGTGGTGTAAGCGGGACCGTCGATACACCGAATGCTTCGCGTGGGAGAGCGACTTAGGTAGGGCGGTTTCTCTCTTGTCAACTTGCGACTGTGAGAGCAATTGGATGTGATAATACCACTTTGTATGCTGAATTAGAAAATAAAAAAGAAAAAAATGTCCCAATAGTGACAAGACTTTCCTTCCAACCTATATAATTCTCGCAGGGTTGCTCGTTATGGACAAAGTGTTAAGCGATGTAACATCAAATGAGTGTGAAGCGATGTAACATCAGATGTCTCTATCATAGCATTGTTTGGGATATTAAACAGCCGTAGCTGTATAAGGTAATGATTCGTAGGGCAGGAGAGAGGGGACCATGGATAAAGGATGTCTGACAATTGTGTTGAGAAACCATGATATTCGGCCGGTAGGGCCCAGCCCAATATTTTGCAACTATTTCCTCTCTCACTGAAACAAAACATTGAAGGCCTAGCAAGCAAGTTGCTTTGTACCCATTTTTGTGGCTTTCTGTTAACCACTACTTGTTTTCTAGCGTATGGCTAAATATTCGAAAATTGGCTTGGTATGGCCAGTTGTTTAATACCGATCGGTCGGTTCAACCACTCGATCACACACATCCGATACGCGAATTCACGACCACCTGTTACGACTGCGCGCACATGGATGAGTTCATGCACTGCTTTAATGCACGATTCATGAAGTTCACGCACCTGATACTGTACTGGATTGCAGTGTGCTTGTCGATTCGAGAGGTGCAGTTGTATGGGTTTCTGCTGCAGTAGTGTTTGTTAGGGGTGCCGCCGATGTCGTTAATGTAGAAGCCTTAGGCGTTAAAGTAGTTTCTGTAGTTGCTGAACTCGATACTGTACTGGATTGCAGTGTGCTTGTCGATTCGAGAGGCTGCAAGGTTTGGTATGGGTTTCTGCTGCAGTAGTGTTTGTTAGGGGTGCCGCCGATGTCGTTAATGTAGAAGCCTTAGGCGTTAAAGTAGTTTCTGTAGTTGCTGAACTCGATACTGTACTGGATTGCAGTGTGCTTGTCGATTCGAGAGGTGCAGTTGTATGGGTTTCTGCTGCAGTAGTGTTTGTTAGGGGTGCCGCCGATGTCGTTAATGTAGAAGCCTTAGGCGTTAAAGTAGTTTCTGTAGTTGCTGAACTCGATACTGTACTGGATTGCAGTGTGCTTGTCGATTCGAGAGGTGCAGTTGTATGGGTTTCTGCTGCAGTAGTGTTTGTTAGAGGTGCCGCTGATGTCGTTAAAGTAGAAGCCTTAGGCGTCAAAGTAGTTTCTGTAGTTGCTAAACTCGATCATGTACGGTTGCAGGTGCTTGTCGATTCAAGAGGTGCAGTTGTATGGGTTTCTGCTGCAGTAGTGTTTGTTAGAGGTGCCGCTGATGTCGTTAAAGTAGAAGCCTTAGGCGTTCAAAGTAGTTTCTGTAGTTGCTGAACTCGATACTGTACTGGATTGCAGTGTGCTTGTCGATTCGAGAGGTGCAGTTGTATGGGTTTCTGCTGCAGTAGTGTTTGTTAGGGGTGCCGCCGATGTCGTTAATGTAGAAGCCTTAGGCGTTAAAGTAGTTTCTGTAGTTGCTGAACTCGATACTGTACTGGATTGCAGTGTGCTTGTCGATTCGAGAGGTGCAGTTGTATGGGTTTCTGCTGCAGTAGTGTTTGTTAGGGGTGCCGTCGCCGATGTCGTTAATGTAGAAGCCTTAGGCGTTAAAGTAGTTTCTGTAGTTGCTGAACTCGATACTGTACTGGATTGCAGTGTGCTTGTCGATTCGAGAGGTGCAGTTGTATGGGTTTCTGCTGCAGTAGTGTTTGTTAGGGGTGCCGCCGATGTCGTTAATGTAGAAGCCTTAGGGGGGTCAAAGTAGTT